AACTTGAAATAAAACATTTTCATTACCGATAAACTGCAAGAAGAAATGTCAGAATCCATTTGTTTCAAAAACATAGTGAAAGATGAACTTGTTTACTATATCATATTCAAAAAATCAGAGTGAAAAACCACTGGGGGTTGATGAAAAACAGGAGGCGGGGTTTGTCACGTAACTATTATATACAAAAATCAAACTGGTCACATCTGACCACAAGATATTTCTGCAAATATTGGGTAAATATTTTAAAAGAAATAAGAAAAAAAACTATAAATGTTTGTCCTGTTTATCACCGCTATCATCAGCCTCACCCTGCTGCATGAAGCAACTGTTTACAACAGGTGTAGGGTTAGTTGCACAGATATTATCTTCTTATCAGTAACAAACTTCACAAAGATGAAACCAGCAGAGCTCTCGTTACGAGACAAACATAAACACGAAACTTTTCTTTTAGAAAATGTTTATAGTGTTTAATAAGTTGATCCCAAAATCTGAGGTCTAAAAAAACTGTATAATTACTGATATCTGCAGATAAAAATGTATTTATCCACAGGGTTAATTTAATGCATCTGCACAMTCTGAAGCTTTTTAAGCTTGGAAAGGTGAAGGTAGTAATAAATCAGGAGGAGAACTGGGGTCGGAGGTTAACAGAGTCTGTGGGGGTTTGTGTTTGAATTATTGTGTTTTTCTGTTTTTACACCCTTTTTTTAACGATGTTTGAGAGCGTGAGCGACGCCTGCTCGCCCTCATGGCTGTGTTTTCATGTTGCTCCTGTGTGTTCATGAACAGCAGTGAACTCAGCGTGGGGCTAGTGTCTGGAGCGTGGAACTGAAACGCTACTAATCTGCTGCTGACAAAGTGGCTTAGCTTCTATAGGGTCAGACGGCACAGTGAGACAGCTTAAACACAACTCAGGCGGTCTTGATCCGGGCCTGCAGACCCTCACAGCCTCCCAAACCTGAACAAGTCATAACCAATACAAACAGTCGGGATTACAAACGATCACTTAAACGTTAAATACATCCATCAAATCACCTCCCTTTTAGAGAAATGATTATTAAACTGCTGATGTCACRTGCTGTACTGGCAGAAAAGTTAGTAATGTAAACACTAGTAATGATCATTCCAGAGCCAGCCAGGCGGTTCAGAGTACAGTACACAAAAAGAGGATCTATACAACTGTAAAACCTGATTCAGGGTAGGTTAAAACTAAATAAAATTTAAGGTTATAATGACAGCTCAGTAAAGCTGAGGGTAGCRATGACCTATTATTGGTTTTAAGGTACATTATTGTGGAAAAATAAAAGTCACGCCATCAAAAACTGTAATTTTTTTGTCAAATCGACAGGTTTAATGTCTAAAACTAAGATATAATAAACAGGGCCTAATTTTTATTTTATTGTCCTCACTCTGACCAGATCTGTTCCTCTGAGAATCCTACATTCGTGTTAATCTTATTAAAAAAGACAATTTCAGTTCATTATATTTTATCCGTCCTGATAACACAGTCAGTCATGGCTCGTCTACTTGAAAAGCAACACTCATGTTTTTGCCTATCATCCAAAGCTGATTGGTAACGATCATTTTAGAGCCAGGGAGGGAGGAAAAGAACAACAAAACGACCGGTATTGTTCACAAAAATCCAAGTGTGAAACTAGAATTCCTTGTTTTCTAAACTGTCAGATCATTAAAAACAGACATTTCAAGTGACTTTGATAGCTCAAAATTAAACACTTTGATAAAACATAAAAAAAGCCACTACTGAACAGCAAGCTCGCTTAACTTAAGCTATGTAGGTCAGATAAGAAACACCATGAGAGARAAAAACACAGACATTGTGTCGCCTATGAGCTGAAAATCATAAAAAAAAACAAGTTTTTTGTTTTCTATAACAGGGATGAACAACTGGCRGGCTGTAGGCTGAATGACGCTTGGCTCTACCGGTGAGGAAGAGACGTTTAGYCATGGCTAAGAACAAAGGAAAGACACCTCGACAGATAAAATCAYGTTTCAGGTGAAATGGGAAGTAGACTACCAGTTTACAGAGCTCCAAGGCAAACCAGTGTTTTAAGGCCAGTTGATTTTTTTTTATTCCAACATCAGTGATGTTTTCATAAGTTGTCTAAAACGTTTTAGCGTGGCAGAGCCTTCAGTCTTAGAGACGCAGTCTGCCATGAAAGTTTTTAATATAAGTTGCCGTTACAAGTTGCACAAAGCTAAATATGAGAAGTTACATAAACGACAGATTTTTTTCCAGAACCAGAACCACGCAGGAGTCGGACCTCAAGGCGTCTTTTTGCCGTTACACTTCAGCTCGCTAAAGTAAGGGTTTATTTTTTGCTTTCTTCAGATTAGGGATGCACCGACGTGAAAATTTCAGCAGATATCGATATCCAATACAATTACTGCTGTTATGGCCCATAACTGATTTTTACAGATATTACACAAACACACAAATTATATTATACATATACGCACAAACACACTTGGGTCTTTTTTTGATGTTGTAAATAAACAACCAGACCTCTGACATGGCTCTACTTCAGTTATTCCTGGCTGCAGCATCAATATCACCATTATGATCAAACAGATACCACTCAACCAACCATCTCCCTCTCAAAACAGAAACACAAAGATAAAAAGTGGGAAATCAATATCGAACATTAATATCGGCCCAGTTTTAAATATCGGACCGATATTCTAAAAAAAAATGACCAATATTGGCCAATACAGATATTAATGTTGATATATCGTGCATCCCTAACAGAAACATTTATTAAATGTCAGTTTTATTACATTTAGGTACGTGTGCAGCTCTACGTGGCCCATCCCTGATGTAGAATAAATGAAAAAGTTTAGCTGATCCAGTGTGTCTAAGATACAGGAGCTSTTTGATTAAACTTTAGATGGAGACGCCTCACAAACAGGCAGARACTAGAGCTTTCTGTCTGAAGACCTCCTCTTACCTTTCCTCTGCAGGAAGAGCCTGAGCAGAGGGTTAGCGGTGGAGATAGCCTTGTGGTAGTTGTCGTCATTGTTGATGGGCAGCAGGTCCCCGTGGATGTCGGCGTAGGCCACCAGCAGCTCCACGTTGGGGATGCGRTGCACGTGCTGCAGGAGGCCGTAGAACTCATCGAAACGGCCGGGCTTCGACCGATCCAGGGAGAACCGACGAAACTCTGCACCAAACTGGGACGGAGCAGACGTGAGTTTACAATATTAAACTTTTATGAACACGCAGTCACAGATGAGCTWACCACGTTAAAAATGATAAATGTAAACATTGTGATTTGTGAACGTGTGATTAAGACGGTCTTAACTGCTCGTCTTACAGGACGTTCGGCTTCATCATCAGAATAAATTTGTGYCTTTTCAGCCATGTGTTCATGTCCCTGTGAGCTGCTGCCGGTTTGTGAGTAATGATGAGTGCGGTTTGACAGAAGAAAAGCCTTCTGGTTGCTGATCTTCAAGCGGCTGACACACAACGCAGATAATGCCTCATTGCTGATGTTCAGCAGAACTGCTTGTTGTGGTTACTGTTGCCAAGTGCTGACAAAAGATCATCTCCAATTTACCGCTAGCTTGGGACACTTACACCTCAGATCAGAAATGTGTATTAAATTACAGTTTGGTAGAAAAAGCAATATATGAAAAGAATTTAAACAGTTTTAATGATTTTGTCTTTATAGGAAAACAAGACAGGGGAGAAATCTGTGTGTAATGGCCTAATTAATAATAATAATAATTAGTAATAATTTATGACAACACGTAAATAATAATAAAAACTAGTTTAATTTRCATTTTTTGGTGCGGACTATAAACAAGCAGCTAGCCGCGGAAGGAGCCAAGCTGCCGCAGGCCGAATAACACCTGTACACCGGGGGAACTATCCTATAACCCGCAGGTATCAACACTTCGAACAAGGCTTTTTTATTTATTTATTTATTTGTTTATTTTTGTCACACACGTTTTAAAAGCGTAAAGAAATTCCCAAAATGAAATGGGGGAAAACGTAAAAACTTTTGTAAAATAGAGCGTGCGGCGGAAGAAGTTGTGACAGGTGACACTGACCGCTCAGCTGACATTAACCTCCACCTTCAAAACTTACAACATGTCCATAAAACTTGAAACATACCTGCGCCACGGTTAAACTCAAAATCTGGAGGCTTTTAGTCGACTTAAAAGCGGCGAAAAATAATGTCCTTGCGGGCACGGCTTCGGCTTATTTGCATGTAATCAGTGCGACATCGCGACCTGCTACCGAGCCACTTAGTTAGCTAAATTAGCTAAAGRGGACGCTAATCAGCGCGAGAGTTAGGACCATAAAAACAATAAAACTGATTTAAAAAATAAAATAAAGAGTGCCGGGCTTACCTTGCTCTTCACCTCCACGGTAATCAGAGAATGGCTGCTCGGCACTCGGTGGGTTTTGTTCATGTTTCGCTAGCAGCGGGACCGCCGCCAAAGCCCCTCACACACACCGCTCCTGCCGCCGCCGAGTATCCGAACACGGAGTTGTTTTTTCCCAGGAACTGTCCCGCGAACTGTCGGCGTCCACCGGTCCGGTCCGGTCCGGTTCGAGTCGCGTCTTTGAAATAAAAACTCGACGACGGCTGTCGACCAGCCTGGATCAGCTTGTAAACTTATCTCCTCTCATGTTTGTCGCTGCCGAAGTAGTTCCGACACCGCTCGGCGCTGTCTGAGCTCGGCTCCGGTYCGCCTCCCCTCTGGAAGACCTGGGCTCTTCAAAATAAAAGACGCCGTGCAGCTGATTTCAAAATAAGACTCGTCACTATCCACCTCTAAACTGGTCTCTTTATTTTGATTTTTATTCTATTAGTGTAAAATATTTAAAAATGTTATTAACACATTTTCATTATTTAGATGACTTTTTGATTGTAAAATTGTAGTAAAAAATTCCACTTACATTTTATTATTATTTAGCTCACTGTTCTTACATCCTACTATTATATACAAGATGTTAAATGTTATAAATAAATGTTAAAACTTAAATCTAAATGTGTAAAGTTAATGTAAAAATTAAATGATGCAGGAAAATGATCAAGCTTACATAATGTGGTAAAGAAATTGTCAATATTAAGTGGATGATTCATTTAGATTTAATGACTGATGAAGTAATAAAAGCTAAATTAATCAAAGCCATTCCCTGTAAAACTAAAATGTCTTGTATTAAAGCATATATACCCATATGTAGTATATTTTGTACTACAGTAATTGTAAATATAAGTGGAGCCTAATTAAAACACAATACAAATCAAATCTTTGTAAGGACATTTTTTATAAGGCCTAATTAGTTTGAATGTGTGCTTTTGTTTTTTTTCTTGACTAAATTGCTAAGTAAAGATGTTTATATATTTATACCAGGACTGACTTTTAATTCTTGGAGCACAGTGACACCTCCTGGTCAAAAACCATTAATGCTGCCAACATGAACCCAAAGAGTGATGATGACATTTTTATATTTCAAATCAAATAGTCTGTGTTCTGTTTAATTTTAGGAGTTTGTCTTATCTCATTAACAAAACAAAAATTAAAGAATAAAATTCACCCATAGCTTATTTATATAGTTAGACAGCAGCAAAGTGARGAAAYGTGGTGAGTTTGTCCTCCAGCACCCGAAGCCTATAGCAGCAGAACTATAGGATAGCTCAATAAACCAACTATAGGATGCATCAGAAATGAAAGAGAAAGAGTCTCTAGTGTCAGCCTGCAGCTTGATAATTCAGAGCTTTGTATGAGAAAAGTAAGATTTTAAATTCTATCCTGAATTTGACAGAGCCRATGAAGAGAASCTAAAACTGAAGAAATRTGCTCTGTTCTCTGAACTCTAACATTAAACTGTAGCCTTTTCAAAGAGTTTTAGGACCCCCAGGTAATAAAGAAATACACTAGACCAGCCTAGACGTGACAACGTTTCAGAGAGCTGAACCAAATATCCTGGAAAAGACCTGTAATCATTGTTTTTATTATATTATAACAGGCTCSTTGTTGGTTTTCTTGTGTTTTGTTYGTAGTTTCCATGTTCTCTGGTTTAATTCCTTACATGTTAAATTTTGCAGCACTTGTTCTCTATGTTTAAAAGGTTCAGGTAGTTTCAGTTAATTAAATAATTTGAATCAGGTGTGTTGGTTCAGGGAAACATCTGAAACAGTTTGTGTCCTTCTGGCTCCAATCATGACAGAGCAGCTGGACTGTCACAAGTAGTCTCGTGGTCTGACTGTTCACATCATTGTTTTCCCCTGGAGCAGTGTGGTTATCCTGACTGGGCTTTCCTGAAAGCAGACAGGAAACACAGACAGGACTCCATGCAACCTTCAGGTGAAAATGAAGACCCCAAACCCAGACCCAAACCAGTGGTTATTCCGTATGTTGTGGGTGTTTCGGAGAAACTGAGACGTTTATTTTCTAAACATGATGTCCCAGTRGCTTTCAAACCCCAAAACACATTACGGCAAAGGCTGGTTCACCCCAAAGATCCGGTGCCCCGGCACAAACAGAGCAATGTTGTATATGCTGTTAAGTGCCAGGAGGACTGCGACCAGTTATACATCGGGGAAACAAAGCAGCCRCTGTTCAAAAGAATGTCCCAACACAGACGAGCTACATCTAATGGCCAGAACTCTGCAGTTTTCACTCATCTACAGGCCAGCGGTCACTCTTTCAGAGATGAGGATGTTCTCATTCTTGATAGAGAGGAACGTTGGTTTGAGAGAGGAGTAAAAGAAGCCATTTTTGTAAAGAAAGACCGTCCATCATTAAACAGAGGTGGGGGCCTCCGTTTTCAGTTGTCCCCCTCCTACAGTGCTGCTATTGCCAGTATCACTCCACCCCTGTTAACAATAGGTGTTAATTAGGTGTCAACGATAGCCATGTGATGTATCAGTCACATGGAGGCAGGGCTTAAAAGCCTGAATTTTGCCTGAAACTCTCAGACTGAAGAAGTCTCTTGGAGGAGAGACGAAACGTTTCATTAGAGAAGAACCCGTCCAGAGGACCTATACAATTTTTTTCTTTTTGATTTTTTACCTGGATTACTGAGATGCATCAGGACATTGTTTTCCTTTGTTGTCCAATCTGTCTCATTCTGATCCCGGTCTCAAACCGTCACTGACGTCCTCCACTGTTTGATCGCTTCATTTCCTCCTGAGTGATTCCACCCCCAGTCCTTTCCTTGGATTTTCGTTGTGGCCATGCAGCAAGGCTGTGCAACCTGCAGGAGGCGCCAGCAGAGGTCTGCACCCATCCCTCCCCCTCCCCAACCTCTGTCACCCAGCTCTGCAGAGCAGGCCTCCTCTGCAGGTCTGCAGGGCCTTTTCCTGCTCCTGTCTYCTCCTGTCTGCTGGTGTTATTGTCCCACATTGTGCTGCAGCCTTTCAGAGGAATGCACAGTAAAGAACTCACACTGTAACCTAGTTGGGCCCAATTGCGTCAACTCCTGGTGTAAAATGTCAAACTGTGATGCATGATCTCTGACCCAACCACTGTAACATGTGGACCCAGTGTTTGGTCGTAAAGAACCACCTCCACCCTCTCTCCCATAGTTCCCCCACAGTTCTTATTGCACCATTTTGCTCCAACATCTTTTTTTCTGACCTCCAATTAACAGAAGCAGGCAGCAGGTCAGGTGGGAAGTTGAAGTGATCCGGTTCAACCAGAAACGTTTCCTCCTCCATGTTTTTTTTAAAACAGCCAGCACTCCTTTGTGTCTGGCATCTCACACTCCACTTCCCTCCATGCACAGGGGGCGCTCTCCCACTCCTCCTTTTCCCTCCCCTCCTTCCTCGTCACCCATCTTAGCCTCCCTGGTGTTCACTCTCCCCGCCTTTGAAACAGTTAAACGGTCCTTCTGCACACAGCACTGCAGATGAGGCCTCACCTCCCCCCCCCACCCCACTCTACCAGGCCTCTCTCTCCTTCAGACTCCCCACACCTCCTCTCCTCCTTACAGCAGCATAGCAACACTGACTAGCCAGCCGAGGAGGGTCTTGCCTCTCTCTCGGGTAATTTTCCTCCATTTTAAGTTCTTCCTCCCACAGAGGCCAAACGATGAGTTCAATAAAATATCTGACCTGGCTTGTTGTACAAGTAGGACTCACTACATGTGACTCCTTCAAACTGACTCTGGTTTTAAGCTGAGYTTGTCCCTGGATTTGTCCTTGTGTCCGGTGGGTGAGGCGGTGGAACCAGTTTCTCTCTGACAACAATGTCAAAAACTTTTTCTTGTGCCTTAGAGCAGGGGTTCTCTTGGGACCCCTTATAAGAGCGAAAACAATTCCAGGGGCCCCCTCATAAACCCCATACTCTTTTAAAAGATAATTTATTTTAATTTCAACCCCTAAATACCATGAATATATATATATATATATATAT